ACAGAACATAAAAAGAAACTTGGGTGATCTTGGACAGAGCCATTACCAGAGCATGGTGATCGAGGCATTGACCATGGAACCAAATCTGGAAGATGAGAATAATATTTGCTGTTCTTGTTGTTCAGTTGATTCAGTCCTATCCCAGTCTTCATTACTCCATTTGGTTTTTTTGTTTGTTTGGTTGGTTGGTTTTTTTTTTTTTTTTGGCAAAGATACTGGAGTGGTTTGCCATTTCCTTCTACAGCTCATTTTATAGATGAGGAAACTGAGGTAAATAGGGTTAAGGGATTTGCCTAGGATTACACAGCTAGTGTCTGAGGCTAGATCTGAACTCAGGAAGATGAGTCTTCCTGACTCCAGGCCTGGTGCTCTCTCTATTGTAGAAATAGCAGAATTTAGCATCATCTTTTTTTTTTTCCTTTTTTGTCCTTGGTGTTTGCTGACACAGATCTATGGTTTTCATTGTGGTGTGGAAGTCCTTAAGGATGTTTCTGTATCCACTGATGTAGATTAGCAGCTTGTCTTGGGAAAGACACAACTTCTCTGGGCCTCAGTGTCTTCATTGATAAAATGAAAGGGATGAAATAGATGAACCTTTCACCTTTAAATCTATCATCCAAAGAAGCTTCCACAGACATGGGATTATGGACCCATTGAGGCACCCTCATTTGAAAGAAAGACAGGCACATTTTGCTTTGGGTAGTTGATGTGTTTCTGAAAACTTGCTTAGAGATAGAATTGTTGTCAATTGAATCACCTTTTAATTGCATAAGGAGGATCACTATTTAAAGAAACCCACCACTAATCTGTGATATTTTCTCTTCCTCACTTCACTTTTTCCACCCATTACAATCTCAGTTCATCTATTTGGTACATTGGGAAACACTCCTCTGGCTTGAAAGTGTCAAAATGGAAGGTTATTGATTTGTTTGTCTATCTGTATATGCATATGCATATGTTTAGTGAAAAATCGCACTGTGTCCTTGCTAAAAGTAAAGTTGATAATATTTTGCAATTCTGTGAATGAAAATATTGCCTAGCTAAACATTACCTAACACAAAAATGTTTTCAAGTGCATACAAATCTAACAGCATGGACTCATTTGTTAAGCCCATGACCTTCTCCTAATTATTATTATAAGAAGATCAAAATGTTCTGTGCCTCCCTTACTTTATGAGGCACCTAGGTGGCATAGTGTATAGAGAGCTAGGTCTGAAGTCAGGAAGATGTGAGTTCAAACTCAGCCTCAGGGACTTACTATGTGACGTCGGCCAAATCACTTAACCCCTGCCCACCCTAGTTTCTTCAAGTGTAGAATGGGGATAATAATAGCTCCTATCTCTCAGGGTTGTTGTGAGGCTCAGATGAGATAACATTTACAAGGTGCTTAGCCAATGCTTGGCACAGGTATTTAATAAATAGTTGTTCCTTTCCTTCCTTCCCCTTTATGTTCCAGATGATATCCATGGCAAGGCACATTAAAAAAAAAAATCTCCATTCAAGTCAGAGAGTCAATGTGGCCTAATAAATAGAGTGCTGGACATGGAGTCAGGAAGACAGGGCTTCAATTCAAATGTTGCCTCTTACACCATGTGTCATCCTGGACAAGTCACTGAAACTTTATGAGGCTCAGTTTCCTCATATGCAAAATGGAGACCATATTGATAGTAGTTACCACACAGTATTGTTATAAGGCTCAAAACAGAAAATGTACAACATTTTCCAAAAGTCTCAGTGCAAGTTTTAAGTTTTAGCAAATTAAATGTATCCCACTAAGACTTTTGGGACACCCTATATAAAAAAAGCCATATAAATGACAGGTATTATTATGATAACAATCATCAGATTTCAGCAAGTGTGGATCTCAATGAGATATCTTTGCAAATACGTTGATTGCAGTCATCTATGCCATAAGCAATCCAAAACACTGGCATTAATGCTCCTACAATAATTAGAGAAGTCGTTTCACATTAAACAGAGTATATATAGATATAGATAGGTATGTATATATGTGTGTATGTACACAAACACTTAATGTATATTTAAATACCATATTCAACATACTTAATGTACTCTGTGTGTGTGTATACATATATATATACATATATACATATTTTATATACATATGCGTAATGCCTTGTTAAGCCTAATTCTCTTAGCTAAAAAGATGTAGAACTTACAGAATGAATGAAGAAATTTGTGGGACTTTAGATACATAGTTAAGGCATATAACTAGAGCTAGGTGATCAAGACTTTACCCCAGGATACCAAATTTAGAGAATACTAATAACATTTGCAGTCCTTTAGCAATGTAGATACAACATAATTGAGTGCCCTTTTTTCCACCTTTGACCTAAATCTGTTATTTCATCGTAGTGTAGAAATCCTCAGTGTGGATCTGCATACAATGATATAGATTAGAAACTTGCCCATATTTTAGAGTGTCAGAGAGTCTTATAGCAGCAATAAGAATTGAAGTGACTACCCACCTACATAAAGACAGTATGTCAGGGCAGGATTTGAACTCCTATCTCTCTAAGTACAAGTCCAGCTTGCTATCTCCAAATGTGTACTGTTTCTCTTAGAAAGTTAAGTAGTTAACAAGAATAATTAGTTAAAATGGTAAACAACCACATAACATGCACTCCTCTGTATCCTCCAGTCTTATCTTCAATCCGATGGCATCCTTTTCCTGCTGTTTATTGCACACATAATTTGTGGCATTGGCCCTAGGCCATCAAATTCCTAGTTATAGCTCTAAGTTTACATAACTACATAACAGAATAAGATCTTGGATTGGCATATCAGGTCTGCATTTGATTTATAGTGTGATGCTGACTATGATTTTTCCTTTAAAAATATTTTTATTGATATCTTTTGTTTTCACATCATCTGCATTTTGCAAGGTAATCTCCCTCCCATCCCTCCCAGAGAACCTTCCTTTATAACAAGGAATTTTTTCTTTAAATGGGGAAAAAAATTTCATAAAATTAACCAACATATAGAAAAAGTCTTCCATAATCTGTAGTATTCCATATTCATAATCACTCCTCCTCTGCAAAGAAGAGAAGGAGGTATCTTCTCATACTTCTTCCTTGGAATCAGGCTTAGGCATAATCATTCTGAAGTATTCAATTTCAATTTTTATGCTGATTGTTGTTGCCATCTGTATTGTTATGGTCATTGTGTATATTGTTTTTGTGGTTATGTTTTTTTCACTTTTTATTGATTTATACAAATCATCCCAAACTTCTCCATATTTGTCAATTATTCCAGCATAGCCATATTGTATATATTCATGTACCACAACTTGTTCATCCATTGCACTATTGATGAGCATCTATTTAGTTTCCAGTTCTTGCTATAAAAAAAAAATGTGCTGCTATAAATGTTTTGGTACATATGGGGTTTTCTTTTTTACCATTGACTTCCTTGGGGTTTATGCCTAATAGTGGAATATCTAGGTCCAAGGGTATGGACATTTCAGTCTTTGAAATTTCTTCGAATAATTCAAAATTGCTTGCCAAAATCATTGTATCAATTCACAGCTTTGCCAACAATGCATTGGTGTGTCCATCTTTCTAGAACTCATTCGACACTGGATACTCCTATCTTTTGCAATCATTGCTAATTTTCTGTGTGTGAGGTGGAATCACAGAGTTGTTTTGATTTTCAGTTCTCTTATTATTAGTGATTTGAAGTATTCTTCAAATCACTGTTTTAAACTATTGTTTGACATTCTTCTGTGAGCTGCTAGTTCGTATTTGTTGACTACTTATCTATTAGGGAATGCTTTTGATTTTATATATTTCTATTAGTAATAATTAATATTACTAATATTTAGTATTTATTTAGTGTTTTAAGTTTTTCAAAGCACTTTAAAAATATTATCTCATTTTATCTTTATAACAACCCAGGGAAGTAGTTGCTGTTACAGATGAGGAAACTGAGGCAGACAGAAGTTAAATGACTTGCCCCAGGTCACACAGCTATTTAATATCTGAGGCTGAATTTAAACATAGGTCTTTATGACTCTAGGCCCTATACTTTATCTACTGTATCACCTAGCTGCCTATATATCTTGGATATCAAACTTTCATCGAGAAATTTGATTGAAAGAATTTTTCCAGCCAAATGCTTCCTTTTTTATCCTAGTCACATTATTTTTATTTGTATAAAAGCTTTGCAATTTTATGAAATTGAAATTTATATATTATATATTTGTAATCACCTTTATCTCTTGTTTGATTAAGAATTTGCTCCATAGCCGTGTCTGTGAAAGGTGTCTGATCTAGTTCTCTTTCATTTTTTTTTAATGGCATGACCTTTAATATTAAGGTCATGGATCCATTTTGAATTTATTATGGCATATGGGGCAAGATGTTAGTCTAAATCTAATTTATGTTAGACTGCTTTTCAGTTTTCCCAGGAATTCTTGTTAATTACAATGCTTTCCTCATCATTAATTTATGTTGCAGGAATTCTCATATGTAGTGTTATTGAGTTCAGCCATTTCTGATTCTTCCTTGTTTAGTCTATTGTCTTGATCATTTGATTGGTATAGCATTAAATCTGTAAATTAATTTCAGTAGGTTTTTTTTTATTATATTGACATGGTTCAGCTACAAGCACTGAATATTTCTCCAATTATTTAAATTCTTCATTTTCTTTAAAGTGCATCTTATAATTGTATCTATACAAGTTTTGAGAATACTTTAGTGAACTGACTTCCAGATTTTTTTTGCATTTTGTAGTTCTGTTGAATGGGACTTCCCTTTTTATTATTCTCATCTGGATTTTGTTATTGCTATATATAAATGTTGTTGACTTTAGTGGATTTATTTTGTTTCCTGTTTCTTTGTTGAATCTATCAATTGTTTCAATTACTTTCTTTTCTGATTTACCAAGATTTTCTAAGTAAAACATCATGGCATATAATTATGATTTTTCTTCTCTCCATTCATTTCCTTAACCATGAAACAAGGATCAAGATACAGGAATAGCAGCTTTGGAACCATCTTTATCATAACATACACAATAACTATCAATGCTTTTGGTTTTAACATAAGTCATGACTTTGCAATATATTTCAATAGTCCTTTCAAACATATTAAATCAAGTCCACAATACATTTATTTCCAATTTTATTAGTATATGTTGGCAACAGAAGGCATGGCCAACTTTACATTTGCGATACAAGAAAAAGAAAAAGCTGATGTTTATTAAAAGCTAACAATGATACATGACTTCACTGGATTGGCATCGCTTCTGCTGAATTGCACATGAATCAAGTATTTTTTTTTAAATCACAACTGGTGAAGTATTTATGCATAGATTTCCCCTTAACACAGAGAAAAAACCCTGCACATGACCCTTGGATAGTAAGACATACATAACTGAAATATACATTTTTTAAAAAACCTTTGGTTTAATTATTGCCATTCTCAATTATTTCAGACAGAGCTGAACCAAGATGTTTTGTGTCTTTTGCTCAAGATTAAGTCAAAATGGCACCAAAAAAACATTAGAAAAGGGAAATCAAGGAGTAAAATCTGCTGAGGTAAGTGAAGGAAATCCTCCATGCCTGGCAGATAAGATTAACAAAGCTAGAAAGGAATGCTGTGCCCTATATATATACAACAGAGACCAAAATAAAATTTATTAGAGAAAAAAAAAATTTCAAGAAATGACAAAAATCAGGAGTCTTGTGAAATCTTGTGTGAAAATGGCTACCTTGTCCTCAAGTGAAAACTGAGTGTTTTTATTATTACTAAATTGACAGATGCTGATTGAAATGAACTCTAAAAGATTTCCACATTTCAAGAATTTGAGCTTGGAGCCAGAAGGAAGAGTGCTCACAGGGCTCTCTCTCTCTCTCTCTCTCTCTCTCTCTCTCTCTCTCTCTCTCTCTCTCTCTCTCTCTCTCTCTCTCTCTCTCTCTCTTTTTCAGATTCCTAGGCTGAAGACACCATTTCTTTCACTGTGAAAAGTGAAGGAAGTAGGTACAGCCTATTAAAAAACATTTACAGCTAGACAGTAGTGCTTTCCTGTTTTCTTCATTATACAATGGAAAACCAAAGAAAGAAAGAAAAATAGGAAGAGGTTTAGAAGGAAAAAAAGTAGGAAAAGGTTTTCCTACATGTGCTAAAGGGGCCATTATGTTTCTTTGGAATTGCACCGATGTTTTTATCCAATTTCAGTCTCTGAGCTATTATTATGAAATATCCACATGCATGTAAGTTCTGAGACAATAAGTACCTAATAATAATACCCATATTCCTTTTTAAAAGCTCTTATATAATAAGGCATTGTGGTTTCTTACAAATAAGACTGTATTAATAGCAGGGAGAGGATAGTTGAATAGCACAGTCAACTGTACATTTGCATTAAGGGGAAAAAGGTGAATACTAGACTGACCAATTCAGCCAACATTTGTTAAGAGCCCAATAGTTGTAAGGTACTGTGATAAGCACTGGGGGTACAAAAATGAACATTATCAAAATCCCTGCTCTCCAAGGACTTACAATGTACTCACAATGAAAGGGCATAACCTCTACTCATATATGTGCATCATTTTTGTTCCAAAGTAAACATTTCATGCTTAATTAATTAGAAGTAGACATTAAAATTATCAATATTTACACTCCTCCTTTCTTTTTTTACATAACAATAACCCTGTAGAGAATCACAGAATCTTGGGGCTAGAATTCACTCTGAGAGGTCATTTAGTCCATTTCCCTGCCTGAAATAAGAATTACTTAAATCATCCACTTACTGCAGTTAGAATAAAATGCATACACACACACACACGCACACAACATTCAACATCATGGAATTAAGACTGAGATGATTGATCTTTGATAAACTGAAGCCAAGAATCAGATATGGCTCCATTTTGCCTTTAAATCATTTGGTTGAACTAGGGTATATTGGGGCTATAAAGAATAATTAAAAAGAAACCACAAAGCATTTTGCTAGTCTGTAATAATGACAGAAAACATAATTGACACTTCATATAATTATCCTGCTCTTAGTTCTCCTTCACTCCTAAGCCCATGAGAGGTATTTTTTTTTTGCTCTTTTAACTTCCACCATCCTTCCCACTCCCCAAGGGGAAGGGAAGAAATGAGGAATGGGGTAGGGAGGAGTTAAGAATTTTCACATGGAACTAAAGAAGTCACTAATGGCATATATTTCTGTATGCAAAAAATTGCTCCTCTTAAATTATCTGCTTTATTGCTGCGGAGCAGTACTATGTTCAGTTATAGACACAAACCCCTCCAACAGTTTTCCACCCCAAGTCTGTATAGTCAGCAAGATATACCCTTTCACTGGTGTCTATCCTACTGCCAGTTCCCCAACTCTGGTCTCCTTCCTTCTATTCCCTTGATCATAGGCTTAGAAGACACAAATATCTATCTTTAATATACCCAATATTACTTAATAAGATTATAAAACGTGTTAGCTCATAGAGCAGAAATAACTTTGGGGTTTGATAGAACTAAAAAGCTTTATTCATCATGGTGTGTCCACTCATTTTTCCTGATTGGGTCTCAACCAGTGCCCTACACACAGTAGGCACCTAACAAATGTTTCTTGAGTTGAAACCACTTGAAATCATAAAGTAACATAGATTGATTGTTACACTAAACTTTGATATGTTTGCTCAGGGTCAGTTAATGTCTCCCTCCCCCACACAAATACAAATTGTTATGAAACCAAGAAAATGGATAAAGAATGGAAGAGTAGAAGGAACTACTATTTTAGGTACATGGCATAATTTTTAATTGCTTGATTTCTTCTAGGCTCTGTTCTTTTAGTCCAAAACTTACTTCATGGTAATGGACACCTGCATTGAGATAGAATTAAATACTCAAAGGGAAGCCTAGTGGATATGGCCATGTATGGAGTTTGAAGTAGTCTATTTACCTGCTTAGTTCTCTCCCTTTTAACTCTACTGGGCAAATCAATGGTCCCTCTTTAGCCAGGTAATAGAAATAGATGTATAAACCCTCACAGAAACTTTTAGGCTGCCTTCTATATGTTTGTGCTAGCCTAACCACTGTTCTGAAAATCAGAAAATAGGGTGGTCCTGTATCATATTCCATTAGTTTACAATAATGAATATATTAAAATGTGTGATAACAATTGAGTATATAACTCATTTCAGCAAATTCAAAATTTTCTAGGAGCTTAATCAAAGGCACTAATTGTGATAGGACTCTCAGTGAAAAATCTTCCTTCATTGTATAATGAATGTCATTATTTCCAAATGATTTAACATAAGAGTTTGAAGTGGTGCAAATTACAATTGTTGAATTGAATGTTCCTTCTAACATGAGTACAGAATCAGGACACTAGTGAAATTGGTCCATCTATTTCAGTGCTTTGAATAGTTGAATTATCAAGCTATTAATTTCATATCAGATGACAAAAATCTTTTTTTACCATGGCCAATTTGATTTTACCACATAGCTATGGCAACTGTAAAGTCCACTTATAAAATACTGTCAACAAGGAGAAGCAAGGTGGTGCAGGGCACAGAGCTGCAGCCCTGGAGTCAAGAGGACCTGAGTTCAAATCCAGTCTCAGACCAGACACTTGACACTTATTAGCTGTGTGACCTTAGGGAAGTCACTTAACAGCAATTGCCTCACCAAAAAAAAAAATTAAAAAAATAAAATACTGGCAACAACATGGAGGAGTTGGACCACCTTATCTGAAAATTAATAGAAATCTCAGTGGCCTCCAAACCATCCAAAGCTACTTTTGGAAGCACTACATGAAATGCATCTTCCTTTCTTATCCTTTCCCTCAGTTTTCCTCCTTGGAAAATAAAAATAGAAATTTACATCAACATTATAATATACTGCATGTAATTTTATTCTCAACTCCCTTTTTTGACTTGTTGTGGACTATCCAAGGATTCTTGGGACTCTTCCTGACCTTTAAGATAGGTGATCCTCTTGGGCAAGTTGTGAAGAGATGCTAAGACATATTATTCCTAGAAGCAGGAAAACAACTTTGAAATGTCTTAGAGACATTAGCCTAAGGCACCAAGGTGCCCCAGGCAACACATTATATCTCTTTCAATTGCTCACATGACTCCTCCTAATAATTAGGGATACCAACAAATATCCATGCAGCCTAGTAAAAATCAGGCAATCATTAAGAAGCAAAAGTCTCTGTACATTCTGATGGCATATGGAAAAAAGCCTTTTCAGCTGGTTCATTTTAAAATGTCATGGTTATAAATTACATCTGCTTTGAAATAGCTTTCCTATACAAGCTTTCTTTTCAGGTATTGCTTTTCATAAAGAATTCTTTCACTGCATCAGAATGTTTGTCTTTTTAATTGACAAAATTAAGGACTTAATTAAAAGAGTGAAATGCAGCAAAAATTTCTTTAGGAAACCCTACAATGCCATTAGATTAGCCGGAGCCTCCACCCTAAACTTCCAACTGATTCCAGACTTCATTATTGTTCAACACTTCCTGGCTACAATATCTACCACAAATGACAATTAATATGTTGGTTTTATTTTTATAACAAATTTCAAAGTACTTCCAATATTTCCTACATATACTATCACTTATACTACCTTATGGAATCAAGTGAGCAAAGTTAAATGAAGGAATTACTAAATTAAAGACTAATAATGTATTCCATTGGCTATATAGTACCGACAGAAAATTGGAGAAAATAGTCACCTGCTAAGAAAGCAAGACAAGCTTTAGGTTTTTGTTTATCTGTCTTCCTATATCTCCTTAGAGGTTTTTTTTTCCCCCCACCTTTGGTCTATTATTAATTAGTATACTTTTCATTAGTGGTAAACTGAAATCTTGCTATCAGTTTCTTCAAATGTATTATGATTTCCTATCAACTTCAGGTGTTTATGATACAAAGTTATTATGTATCTCACTGTCCAAATGTGGAAGATACACTAGGAAATGGTGAAGAAATGAGTTACAGCTAGTTCACGTAAGTCAGAGCTACTGGCCAGTTTGTCTTCTGAAAACCTCTAGCAAAGAAGTTCATAGTCATAGATTTAGAGCCTGAATGGATCCCAGAGGTCATCTAGTCCAACACCCTTAGTAGGTAGCTGAGCTGGGATTCAAACTCACGTTCCCTGACTCCCAAACCGTGTGCCCTTTCCATTGCACCATGTAATCTCTCCATTCTTCTACTCACTTTTAAAGAATATTTTGTTTCAACACATTCATAAGTTCCCAATGAGCACTTTCTGTCCCATAAAATTTTACCATATAAAGAGTTCAGCAAAATCATCTAATACAGTTATTGCAACTGGAAGACAGTAATGTAAGTTTTCATTCTTATAGTCAAGCATTTCAGAAAGAAAGAAAGTTCATTTTACCCTCATTTCTTTCATTCATTTTTGAGAAAACCCCCTGGGGACCTATCTCATTTCCCAAAATAAATTCTTGTCCCAGATATGAAGCTGACATCCACCCACCCACCCTGCATACACACAGGCATACACACATTATGTAAATCCAGTTGAACTTCAGTAGCCAAATTGGCCCCAGGCTCAAGAGAAAGAGAAAAAAAAAAGTATAAAAGGAATGCCCATCACCCAGGTGAATCACTTATCTGGGCAGCTACAGTCAGAGCTGAAGCAAAAAGGAGTGGTTCCTTTAATCCCTTTGAGAGCATGTTCATGAAGGACTCCTGATACTTTATCCCTATTGCCAAGCCACATTCACCAATATATGGGTCCTCTGGCTGAATTCATCCTGTAACTGAACACTGTAATAAAGTTCAAGCCTAATGAACTGTGATCTTGTCTTGCTTGCCACATGGCCTCAGTGTTTTCTGGAGATAGAGGGACTAAATCTGACATGGTAGCTGGCTAGCCAGATCTGGAAATCTCCAAGGGCATTGCTTAATTGGATATTTTTATTTGTCTTTTTTAAACCTTTGGGTTAAACATTTTTTAAAAATAGCACCTTTTATTCACCTAAAATAATTTCTGTTATTCTCCCTCAAATCATAGGCTTCTGAATGACTTTAAAGCCAACAACTTGGGAAAGAGGAATCCTAACTTCTAAAGACTTAGCTATTAAGAGAATTTACTTCATATGTGCCCATCCCAGTGAGTTTCTTCAATATGCAACCAGTGGAAAACAAGCAAGAAAAAAGATATTTATTTGGTAACATATGTAGTGTTAATTAAGTGCACTCTTCAGTACCAACTCTCTGACCTGAAAGACTATTTCCATTGTTATAAAAATAATTCATGGTTGTCATCCAAATGGCTTTTCTCTAATAGCCTACTGAAAAGAAATGAAAAGATTAAAAGAAGAAGTTTTTTAAATATATAATTTCTCCTAGCCCAGCCTCTTCCTTTTTTTTTCTTAGCATGGGCAACTTCACAAAATGCTGGTTGGAAAAAGAAAATCGATTAAGGCCCAACAGAACATGAAAAGGGACAGTGGATGCTCATTGCTGATATTCATGAAACATTTATGTAACGTAGTACCAGAATCTAATTCCCCACAAACCTTATCTCTGGGTTTTAAAGGTACAGGTATGTTGCTCACTCATAGGAAATAGATGTAAGTCCAAATCATCTGCTTTGAAAAGAAGAGAAATGATACAAGAAAAGAGTGTCCCCAGAGCACAGGTTTACCATTGTTTGCTTCAATTCCAGTTCCAAACTTGAGAAGTATGCTGAGATATATACACATATATATATATATACATATATATGTGTGTGTATGTATGCATGTGTGTGTATATATATGCATATACACATATATCTACATATGTGTATACGCTTATATATTATTTTAAAATGCTGTTTAAAGTTAATGATGACAATAGACTGAAACATAGATTGGCTTGACAAATGTTCTCAATGCCCATAATCCATTATACAAGTTATGTGTGTGGACATATGCCCAAAGAGCTATGTATATACATTTATGTAGTCTTTACATGTATACATACATATCAAAATACCCATGATACCCTTGTGTCTCTAACAGTTTAATTTAAAGTACAGTTCTGACAGATTGTTTATTGATTGTGGTAGCTTTGTCTCCTGACTTCAGTTTGATCTCTGTTGGGGTTCATAGCCTCTTAACAAGAACACTTCCCTCCCACCTCCCCCTTGCTGGCTTCCCTTGCCTCCATCTCCTCCCTACAAGTTGCCAGGCTTTACCTGTGCTCATTTTCTACTGCCCTGGTCTCAGCCTGCTCAGGGACCCAGGAGTAGCAGTCAGCTGCATTCTGAGGGGATTTCTTCTTCTCTGCCCTTTTCGCTTTCTTCTTGCGATAGAACACTAACCCCAGGGCCATAGCCAGAAGAAGCAAGATGGCTGCTACCGTCCCCAAGATATAAAACAGGAGTAATTTCTGATCATCATTGTCATCATCACTTCCATTGGCCAAGGATTCTCCTTTCTGAGATCCTCCATCAGTGGCGATCACTGTGGGGTGGATGATGTCGGAGATCTCCTGAATTCTTGGTTTCCTACTTAATACGGGAGGCCTGGAAGGTTCTGGAGTGATGGGAGGATTAGTCTGCTGGGAAGGTCCCCCCATCGTAGGTGCTACATTATAGGGGACACTAGCTCCTAGGGTGACCTCAGGTTTCTTGCTTGTGTCCAAAACTGAGGGAGAAGAACCAGTGTTCTCTTTTTCTTTCTCCTTTTCCTCTTTCTCATTCTCCATTTCATCCATCTTCTTTCCTTCCTTCTCATCCTTCTCCTGGTGAGTGCCATCTGGAAGACCTGATACGGTGTGGCTAGCAATGCAGGAGATACCATTGGGTGCTAAAGTCCACCCTGGTGGGCAGCCACATAGGAAAGAACCTGGTCCATTGTAGCAGAGACTTTCACAGGGGTTTCCTGCCTCAGCACATTCATCCACATCCTGGCACTGGGTCCCATCTTCCCCAGCAGTCTTGTAGCCCTTTTGGCAGGCACATTGAAAAGAGCCTTCAGTGTTGATGCAAAGCTGTGCACAGGGGGAGCCTTCCCCAGCACATTCATCCACATCCCAGCATTCCATTCCATTATGGCCGTGGGGCTCATAACCTGGGTGGCAGGTGCAATGGAAGCTGCCAGGAGTGTTGACACAATTGTGGGCACATGGGGATCTGCTGCACTCATCCACATCATCACAATCCAGCCGATTTGGAGTGGGCTTGAAGCCTGCAGGACACTGACACTCATAGTGCTGTCCAGGACCGCCAGGACTGCACTTTGCCTTCCCCCTGCACGGGTTGGGATGACATGGGTCTCGTGGGATACAGGACACCAGGTCATCTAGAAGGCGGTATCCTGGACGGCAGCCACAGAGGAATGAACCATCCCCCCCTTCTAAACACTCCTGCTGGCAGCCACCATTGTTGAAGGCACAGCCATGATTTGGGGAGGCACAGAAAGGGCCTGGGGTGCCCCAGTCAAACAGCTTGGGGCTTCGTTCCTTGCACACGAGGTAGTGACTTCTTTTTTCACTTCCATACCCACAGTTCACATTGGCTGCTGAGGCAAAAGGCACAGCAGCCAGGGAGGTACTAGTGGCCCCAAAGGGTGTTGTGTAGGTCACCTCCCCTGGCCCCCCAAGAGCCACAGGGTGGCACATACCTTTGAAACTGAACTTGCACACGTAGCCCTCAATGTTCCTGCCTGGTGAACCTGATGTGCCACATGGACTTTCTGACCACTTGGGGACCAAGTGGGCAGCAGCGAGAGAAGATGAAGAAAGATCCACAAGAAGAGAGGCACAGCGCTTGAAGATGCATGTGCTCATGGGGTCCTTATTCCAGTTAGAGTAAGATGTGTTCTCACCACTTCCCACCCAGCTGAAGCCCTTCAATGGGTCATCAGGGTCCATACACTTGCCCTTCTCCCTTTGAAGCCCAATCCAGAATTTGACCATCCGGGCTGGGGTCTCCCTCTCAGGCAGCTGGGCCAGGGCTTCTTGGATATGCTGGGCCTCTTCTTCACTCTTCACTGTGGCCAGATTTCCCCCATTGGTACTGCAGCCGAACTGGGCCTCAGCGGCACTGAGCTTGCCCCAGTGGGCAGTGTAGCAGGCAGTCCCAGCGCACACAGCAGCTGCCTCCCCCTCCTCCTCCTCCTCATTGCTGGCCCCGGCCCAGGACTTAGGGCTGAGCAGCATCTGGGCGAGCAGCAGCAGGATCAGCAGGAGCAAGGCTGTCCCCATCGTGGCTCCCAGCTTTTTTTCAGCAAGAAATGAGGGCCAGACCAGTGGCTGCTGCCTCTGCTCACACTTCAGGAGCTACTATCTCAGCCCCGAGCTGTAGAGATGGGATCTAAAAGGCACAGACTCATCCACTGTGAACACAAAGGAGGACCAAGAGGCAGCTGGTGTTTCACGTCCCCTTGACCCAAGGCGCATCCTGTGGCTGTTGTGTTTCTTATTTCTCACCGGAGACGGGGGTTTCCTGTAGAGAACAGTGGTGTGACTACTGTTGCCTTCATGATTTTGTTGTTCCCAAGTGGAGCTACTCAGCGTCTCTTTGTCCCTGGCTAAGTCCTGTGGAAAAGCTGCACTGAAGGGGGAAAAAAATGTAACCCAGAGATACTGTATACTTTATTTTGGCTTCATTTTCTTTCCCATCTGCATGAGAAACTGCACTGGCATGCTGCTATCTGAATAGGGCTTTTTTTGGGTAAAGAACTTAAAATTCAAACTCATTGGAGGGACTTCTGCTAACCCATAACAGTATAAAACAGCCTTTCGGTTCACAAACAACCACTGTACCCCAAGTAGGGAGAGTGGGGTGGGGTGAGGGGAAAAGAAGCTGCCCTGAGATCTTGGGACCCGATGACATGGACAGTCATGATTTCAACCTTTTGGGGAAGCAACCAAACATTTCTTTCGCATATCTCATGCTCTCAATTAACATTGAGAGCCTTATCATTCATTCCCTTTATGAACTTTAAATAGAGAAATAAATCTCTAAATAGGAATTGGGCCGTGGGAATGTCTGAGTTCCAAACGCTGTCCCAAACTGTTTATGGATTTTAAACTAAATTGAATTCCGTAGGCGGTTTGCAAAGCTGTCAGAATCCAGTTTGTTAAGTCTTGGGGAAACAGGTTGTTCGACAAACACCCTGGCAAGGGAAAGAATTCTCCTGGGCTTGATTTTCTTTGGGCTCAAACGTTAAAGCTGTATAGAGGATTTAGGATTCTGGGTAAAGTGTTGGAATTGTGTGAGAGCAAAAGATAGGGCAGCTGCTACAGGAATTCCTCTGTTGCCCTATAATTAGCCATTTAATTGCTAAAGATCCTTGCCTGTTTCCTCAGTCACCGCTACACACACACACACACACACACACACACACACACACACACACACACACACACACAACACACCCCTAAATGAAGAAACGGGATTTCCACCAACCCACCCACAACATCTCCCCACCCCCAGCCCCACTAAGCCAGCCTGGTAGAGAAAGGTCTAGTTCAGGAAAAGCAAAGTTAAATCTTTGCCTCAGTATCTATAGCCACTCCTACATATACATGTGATGCTGTCAATAGTTACTCCCTGCAGATTCAGGCTGAAGCATGCCTGTTAGAGTCAGTCAGTTCTGACCCTGGTATAGATGGAAGGAGTACCTTATCTCCTCTTTGCCCAACCGTATGCATTGCTTGTCTTTGCTCAAGGAAGCAAACCAAGGTCAATAAGATCGATATTAGCCACATGGGATAAAATTAGAGATCTGAAATTACAATAAAAAGGAAATAAAATTATTTAAAAATAAAACAAATTTAGATGTAGCTCTTTTCTGAAGGGATAAATAGCTGAGTCTGACAACATGCTAAGGGACAAGTAAACCCTACCTTTCCTAACCCCTCATTCAAATATTGTTCTCTCAAACCATATTTATACTTTCTTTAAGGAGAGAATACCACATTAATCCCAGTGGTCAAGCAATAGTAAAGAAGCATTAATTATGATCACATCAGAATTCTGATTTAGCTCACTCAATGTTTAGTACAGGGTGCCTCAGAAGTCTTAATACAGTTTTAATAGCTTAGAAGTGCACAAAAACTATGGAAACAACGTGTATAATGGAAGTCATTACAGTCTTCTGCTCTATACTGCAATAGTACATATTGATTTAGCAAGCCACTTGGCACTCATTTTGAGCCCTAGGTCCTTTTTAGTGGCAGGTTTCTATAGCCAGGTATTTCTCACCTATTAGCTATGAACTTTTCTTCCCAAGGAGCATATTCTACACTTATCAGAAAGAGATCTAACAGGTAGGGTGAAGAAGGACTAAAAAAAAAAGTGAGCAAGCAATAAAAGCATTAATTCATTTCATTTATTTTCTCATTCAACAAACATCACTTGAATGGCTACTGTGCATAATAATGCAGGAGACATGAAGTTCAACTTTCTGGTTTTCATCTTGAAAGGGAAAGGGAATCCTCACACCAATCCCAGTGATGTAATACTAAATTATATTTCAAAATAACAGATGGAAACTTGTCTGCCAAGCTGACTCACTGACTATTGAGAAATATCATGAAATCTGGTTCTTCTTTCTCATATCCCAACCCCCTGATATCTTTTGACTTTTGCTTCTTTCCCCGCTAATATCAGCAACCTCTTCTGGATCAACCTGCAATCTCCTAGCCTAGGAAAATTACTAGGAAAATTAAAACCCCTCTAGCATGGGGAAGTAGAAAGGAAGTAGAAAAAAATCTTTACAAGGCAAAAAGGACTGTGCCTGAAGATCTTGGGAGAAGAGAGGAGAAGAAGACAGGGAATCACTTAGTATAATATGGCTCAATTTTTAAAATTTTAAAATTTTGAAAAGCACTTTGGACAAAATACAATATAGAAATTCCAAGTTTTACCTCATTGTTCCTCCCTTTCTAATGATGATTCAAGAGATTTTATTTAGAGTGAAGGTTATATCATCTCTCCCAGAAAAATAATTAATAATAATAATAATAATAAAGATACAACCTTTCGGACCAGGAAGATCCTTCCTCAGGTACTCGATGATCTCTACATGAAAGTCACTCTGGATGAGTTGAGTGTTACTATTAGAAAAATTTGGTTTATATATGTGGACTTATAGCTATTTTATTTTTATTTTTATTCTATTTTTTATTATTTTTATTTTATTTTTACAGGCTGAGTGTACACTCTGAGCTGCTTCTAGAAATTACTACTTGCCAAAAAGGGGTCGTTGTGGTCCTCCACTGTCTGCAATAAGTCTTGATTATTCAGAGACATTATTCAGTGTGGATCATCCAGGCCCTCGAGTAAAGAGCTAATGTAATTTCCTGGACTTGGGAGTTCAAGTCTACACTCTGCCCCTTGTCACTTATTGTATGACCTGAGGCAAGTTACTTAGAGCCTCAGTTTACTGATTAATCAACAAGTAATTAATTAAATAGTGACTATGTGTCAGGCACTGTGCAAAGAACTAAAAGTCCAAGGCTGTTGTCCTCATAGAGGTGTTATGAGGGGAAAAAATGAAAACATTTACGTAAAGTGTTTTATAACCATAAAACGTCCTTTAAATGCTAGTCCTTATTATAGCTACATTAGCTCCTGCACTCTTCTGTTGCCTAACTTTTAGCCATTATCATGCTCACTAATCTGGATCAGAGGAGGAGAGCAGAAAGGCATGAAGATGAAACAGACTTTATCCATAGAATTGTAACAAATTGGAAATGACTGAAACGTCTGCTTTTCTTGTCCAGCCTTGGTCACCATTGCACATAGGGCCTATTGTCCTTTTCTTGGGCCCACCCATAGCTGAAAACTAAAGGTTCACCATTAGGCTCCTCCCCAGGCAGGCAGTGTTTCTGGGCAAGAAAAGGTTCCTTTATACCAAAGAGAAAAGGATGTTTATGAAACTGTTTCTAGTTATTCTGACTGATTTCTCAGTAGGTTTAACTTGATTTATTTGAGATAAACTGCTTGTTTTCTTAGCCATATAAACACCTCTTATAGTACTATTGACTTTGTTTCCGATAACAACTGATTTTAAGATAATATATTTGTAATTGTATATATTAAAAATATGTCATGTATATAACATATTACATATACATTTATAATATTTGAGATTTATACAAAATATTTAGTGGACAGTTATATACACACACATATATATATACATACACTTATGTGTATATGTTTATGTGTGCATTATGTATGTATGTGTGTGTGTGTGTGTGTGTGTGTGTGTGTGTGTGTGTGTGTAGTGAATTCCAGGATATGCTGGTGGGTACTGACTTGCATAAATAAAGAGAAATGCAAATTACCAAAAGGGCAATCTGTCAGCACCAGAAATTCAGTAAGCAACAAGAGAGGAAAGATGTTTCCATGAGTTCTCATCCTAATCATGAAATTCTCAGTTGTTATCTTGGCAGACCAAGGATAAGCTCTTAAATCTTTTTAAAATGTGGTGATACAGACATTGTTCACAAATAGTGGGTTTTTTTTTTAGTGGTTCAAAAAAGCTGCCAAGATACTTTTTCTATATTTGGACAATATTATCAAATGAAAATAAAATGATCTAATTGCTATAAAGAAGTGCCAAGACCCAATTTTGAATAAAAGTAGACATTAGCAATTGAGCATCAGCTCAAAAGAAATCATTTAACTCGAATGGATAGACCCACTGTTTTTCTTTTTCTTTTCAATTTTATTGCTATCTTTCATTCATCTATCACCTGCATTTCTAAATATGTAGGTGGCTTTCCCAGCCCCCAGAGGAGGTTAGGGTGATTCCACAGAAAGAGTACTGGGCAGGGAGTCAGAAAACGTGGATTCTAATCTCACCTCTGTTGCTTATGAAACGTATGACCTGCAACAAACCATTTAGTCCTCTGAGCTCAGTTTCCTCACATTTAAAATTAGGTACTTGGATTAGATGACCTTCTAATTCTGTAGTTATAAGGAGAAAATATGTAGACTATTTTAAGTAAAAATCACAATAAATGTCAAGAGAGGGGGGGGAAAAGCAGAACAATGCACTATTACATAAAAGTGCTGCATATCCACACCTGTGTAATTAAGTACAGAGCAACACTGTCTATGTGAGAAAAATAGAAGGAACCGTCTGCTGAAAGGAAGTCCACAACTGAGACAGAGAATGAATTGTGGTCATCATTACCACTGGTTTTCTCCAGTCAAGAGACCAGTACCTTAAATATAATCTAACAAAATTAGGAACAGAATCTCCAGCACCCCAGCTTTTTCTTGCTGCTCTGGGCTCTGACATTAAAGTCCTGCTGGAAGGTAATGTTCTTCCAGCCAAACTCAAATGAACAGTTTAGTCTGAAGATTAAGGGGACAGGGGAATATTTTTAGCTCCTGTTGAATAAAATGTGTGCTTATTTCAAGCTCTGAGAATGTCTGTACTCTGCAGTCCATGAGGCAGACTGTCATCTCCTGGAGAGATCTAGCTAATTAAGCTGGCAAGGTATATGTTACAGAGGCTTAGATGGCGGG